TGCGTAAAATTGCATAAGTGCCCGATTTTGCGATAAACGCGGTTTTATGTTTATCTTCAGATCTCATAGCTATTTCATAGTAGCAGGACGTTAAGTCCAACGTAGTCACGTATCTCGTAGACTTAATCTTTCTAATAATTTCCTCTATCTGTAATCGATAGCAAACCTCCAAGCCCTTTTATCCGAAGGAGGGAAATCGTTCTTTTTCCTACATAGTACGACTGAACTCGCGTACTCACTATTTATGGGCGTTATTATCTGGTTCTGCAGCATTTTCCTGAATGTGTTCCTTCAATAATTTGCTCTTTCTGTTTATCATACCGGTAGGGGTTTAGTCCTACAGGGTTTATTCGGCAGTTTAGTTGTATATCATGCTTTACAATTTGACAGTTACCAGGCCGTTCTGAAAACAAGTTTTGGAAAAAGTACTCACCCCTTGCTGGATGGCTTGGCTTTCATGGACACTCAAATGGCTCAAGTCTATCTGCGGTTGTTTCACTGGCTCCACCACCCTCCGATCCATTTCCAGCATAATCGAATTCTCCTGAAAATTTAGGTTGGCTTTCGCGACCTTTAAAAAGTCCATGCCTAAGATGAATGGATTCTGTAAATTTTTCACCACAAAAATTAATACTTTAAAGGCTCTCATCTTTTATCTGTATTTTTAATGATAATTCCCCGATACATTGACAGATTTTTCCTTGGGCCGCTATAATTTCTGTATTTTTATTTTTAAATAACCGTAATCTATTAAAATTCTTATTGAAAAATTTATCACTCATAAAATTACCTTCTGCCCCTGTATCAATAAGGGCTTCCACTGGTACATCGCCAACCAAGACTTGTATAATTGGTAATTGTGAATTTTTTACCACGACCGTATTTAGGTATCTTCTTGAGGGTTTTTTTTCGAAACTTCGGGGGGTCTGGACCCTCACTTTTACAGGCCCCTCTAATCGTTTAAAGCTTTCATTTCAACTTCAGTCTTTTTGGGGTACGCGGACTTTTTTTTTTTATTTTTTCAAATTTTTTTTTTTTTGCGCCTTGACTTTCTAGCTACGATGAGTTGGCTTGATAGCTCTTTCCCCCATAAGAGCGATTTGTGGTTCCGGTCTGTTGATTTGAGAATTGCCTTCGGGGACGTTGAGAATACGATGCCCCTCTAGATTTTTCCGCTATTCTTCCGTTTTGGAACTTGACCGCCAACTCGAAGAGTTCCTGCAAGGTGCTTGAATTTCGGATTTCCAAGTAATCTTGGACAGCAGGTAGCAATCTTGGTAAAATTATTTCAATTATCTCTGTGTCGGGTTTCTTTCCATACAGCATGTCTGCCAGCTTAACTTTTCGCAGAATATAAGTCCGTCAAATCTTCCATATTACGTTGATAAAAAATTTAACTAGTTCGGATTCTAGCTTTGCTTCGGTCTTTCACTATGGGGAAGGCCATTTAATAATGATGATTTTAAAATTTTCAAAAGGTATATGTTTGGCCTCCGAATTCTCCTAATAAAAATTTTCCCTATATTCTTCCACCATAGTGAGGCCTGTCCTCTTAGTGCAGACGTGGCAATGGCAACTTTTTGTCTTTCAGGCACAGGGTATAACTGGAAAGTGAATTTCTAGAGGACCCTTCTAAGAATATCGCCACCGAATTTTTTTCCGTCGAAATTGACGTTTGGCTTGATAGATGCTCTCATCGTTTGGACCAGGTATCCAAACCCTTCTAACTTGGGTTCGTCATTTCTTGCTGTTGGAGTTGTACAGGAGCTTCCATCCAGTTTTCGGCCATCTAAGTTCGTAAGATGTTCGGGCGCTAATGTAGTATTGTGATGGCCCCAACTTGTCAGCAACTGTGGTAGTGACTACTATGAACTGGTAAATTTACACAACACTTTTAAGAAGGGTTTAAAAGCCCTTTCAATTCCACTTTAGAAATAACAGCTGCGTTCACTTGACGCTCACAAACTACGCCGACCCGGCGATTAAACAAAACAGAAATGTGAATCTAAAAACTAATGACAGGATGAATAAACAACTAAATCACTACTTACGAGACTCTGAAATCGTAACTAACCTAACCGCGTTCTAAAATACAGTTGAAATTCAGCGAGCTTACTGATTAAGCAGTTGAAAGATTCAACGAACTGCCGAGATAGGCACACAGGCCGAAACGCGCGGTTCTTAAATTTCTACCTATCAACCTTCACGTTCGCGATTCAAGAAGCACACATACAAACTCGTTTCCCTTCTATTTAAACTCAACTTACTTCTGCTAAAATTTGAATATACTGCGCGTTCTACTACAATTTACATACTCTGGCATTAGCAATTCTAGGGGAAAGTAAAGGCTTGACAGGAAAGATAGCTTAAAATAAATGTTAGTTAAAATAAATATAAACCTTACACTGTAATGAATTGAATAATGCTTTAAACATCCTGTACAACGTTCAACCCTTCTTTTCAGTCTCTAGTGATCTCTCTCGAATAATTTTTCTTAATTTTCTAATAATGATGTTAACTCGTCGAGCGTATGGAAAGAACTAAATTTAAGTGCTCAAATGTTGATATTTACTCCCGAAGGAGCTAATATTTAGCTTCTCAATATCTCCTCTGAGAACGTTTTTAAATATTCATGTTCGAAAATGTTATTTGCAAACCTAAATATTGATCAGCTGAAGGCACCCAAACAACACCCATATTTTTTTCTTTTTTCTCTTTTTTTCATCATATTTTTCTCTTTGTCATTCCTATTTCTTCATTTCTTCCTCTGCTCCTTTATGAATCATGTTAACCAAGATACTGATGTCAACGCTGGAACGCTGGAAATAACTAAAGTAGGCAATTCAATTTAAAAGCTCATTTATTTCATAATATCTTAAAACTAATATAACAAAATCTGATGTGTACACCACATGACTTCCTTGTACGGAATATTAAATTATAGGGATTTTTTTCTTGCATTTCGTTTAAACTTATTGGATTTAATTCAATCTACTTCGCCGACAGCGCATAAACCACAATAGAATAAAGACATTTTTTAAAATTCACTATATTTGTTTACCATAACGATATTCTGGCGCTAGGTTCACTTAACAGCGTTATATTTCGTTCACATTATAACTCAAACTACACAAAATTTATATCATTTGAAGAATTATCTAGTCGTTGCCACATGTTCTATTCAATCACTATAATAAATCTAGAACGATGTATAAAAGAAATTAAGCATACAAAACAAAAAAGGTACAGTTTTCACAGACGATTTTGTATTTCTCATTCAATTCATTCAGTTCTCACTTCGCGATAAGGCAAAAATACATAAAAACTCAAAATATCTATATTGAAAATTACGAAGTAAATCTTAAACGCTAACTTTCTCGAAAAAAATCCAGAAAGGATTAAGCATGATCTAATTCGCAATAATAAAAAAAACGTTATCTTTGGTTTTGCGAAGCTTACTTTCTCTAGATTGGCAACAAATCTACTATTTTGCTGTTTCAAATGTAAACAAACATTGCCGCCATTGCAAAAGCCTTAGCGGCACTTATACAACTTTTAAAGTGTTAATAATTCTAAAAATATCGCATGTAGATTTAGTAAAGGCATAAGAACCTTAACCGGAAAATAAAAAGAACATAATTCACTCATTTTTTGTAATCAAAAAGTGCCCAATTTACAAACATATAAGAATAAAGAAACTGAGATTACTGAGCCTAGTAACAGAGTGGATAAATATATATATACATATATTTATATACTTTTGGTGCGGTCGATTACAACCAAAATACGAGGTGCACATCTACATGCTATAGCAGTCCTATACGAAATTTCAATTTTCTGAGGCTAGTCGTTTTTGAGTTATCCGAGATACGTACATACGCACAGACGCCACGAAAATTTCTCTTCAGAATTCATTTTAAATCAGTTTTATAATTTTTTTGGCGGAAAAGAATCTTTTATTCTGTCCTTACGTACGGATGTCACGCAAAAACATTGTTAAATTGCATTCGATAGCGGTCAAAATGGATATTTTCGTTGAAATATGATGCCTGAAGTTTTTCGCGATTACAATACTTGCTTTTTACTTCGTACAAGGAAGTAATAAACCATCAGCTTACACAAATATTAAGTTTTAAAGTGACGAGCATTTACACGCAGATTACTGAGATATAATGTTTTTCAAATGGAGATTATATTTACACAATCTTACAGAGTTTATATTCTAGAAAACACTGAAAGGCTTTAGTGTTAAAGAGTAGCCATGTAATATTATTTACATTAATTAAAACTGAAAAATATTTGTAGTTTCAGTGATTTGTTTTATGATTAGATTATGGTTCTAAAGTATTAAAACTTCATGAGAATGTTAATAATGTAATTTTAGGCTTTGAAAAAACTTATAAATTCTTCCTGTGAAAACTGTTCCAATTGTAACAAAATTGTTAATTAAAGGTAAAATAATATCACAGAATGAACTTAAAGGGAAAGAATTACGCTGCTTTGGTGTTCCATTTCTTAGGAGGAATATATAAAAATTCAAATTACATAAATTTTTCAAAACTGTTTTTTTAAAACCTCTGGATGCACTCAACCAATTTGATTATGGTACACCGAACTAAATTATTTCTAGATACCGGAGTAAATACGTTGAAGAATTTTTTTTCAGGTATGAATGCAACAGAGTATATCTGCTACAGTTCTGATTTCAAATAAAGAGAGATGTTTAAAGAGGTTGAGTTAAAATAAATAATAACATAATTGGCTGAAAAAGACCTCTCTCTAAATTTTTATTGGCGCGTTAAGGGATTAAAATTACAAATGCTAAAACAAGAATCTTTGCCTCAATTAGAGCATTTTTGTAATTAGAAGCCAGTTATATTTCCGGTGACATGAATGAAAAGCCCTAAAGGAAACAAGTGTTAATTTCATAATAAATTGTTAATGTTATGCTTTGTGATCAAGATCGTATTTTCGTTGAATGAGCATTTGTTTCTTCGTAGGTGGTAATAAATATTGGGAGACAAACCACAAGTCGAAATCAGTCAGTGTGGAAATTGCGGGATATTACGTCCTCGCTCTTCTGGAACTATACGAGCGAGATGGTATTCTTGCATCTCGACCTGTTGTGAAATGGATTGCTCGACAAAGGAATTCTAATGGAGGTTTCGTGTCTACTCAAGTAAGTAGCAAAAATAAACAACAAATTAAATAAATTCTTCAACTAAATTCAAAGAACTCTGAATAATATGTGATACAGTTCATTATATCAAAATTTATTTATATTTGTTCATTTAATTCGTGAACAAATGAGAACTTTCATTATTTTCGAAGGCTAACAAAATTATGCTTGGGTAAACTATTTCCTGTTTATAAATGAAATTACTTTCATTTTTTAAAGAATAACTTATATTAGTAAAAGCCATATGGCTAAATGTACAGCTTTCATTAAAAGTTAAATGTAGGATCAAACTATAAACAACATTTTGTATACTGTTAATTTCCGAGATTAAGAATTAGTAAATAAAATGCAGGTCGATAAATAAAAATACTAACAGCAAGATTTTAAAATATATATAGCCTTATCGTGCCTTCTAAGCAGCTCGCTATGGCCATTTTCATTCATTCTACGCCAAGTCATGGAATTGCTTCGAAATGAACTCTTTCTTGACTTAAAGGAAGGTCATTTGTGTGCATATAATTCATGCTATATCTGGTACTCTTTTCAAGATATGAAGTGAGTGGGGCAACCATTAGTTTTCTCGCATTGAGTTTAGTTTCCTTAAACTTTTGTGCGGCAATAGAATTGTAGCTGTTCGATTTCCTATGGCAATGTGAAAAATCCGAAACCATCTTATAATCACTTCACTGCTTCTTTGAGCCAACACTGACGGAGAATGTTTTTTGAATGGAGTAGCTGCTCTTGATCTCTCTTGAACGGGCAGTCTATTGCCTGAATCACTACTTAAAAAGTGGTTGCAGGTTCTTGATATCACATTCTGAAGCATTTTCAGATCGCGGACGACCGTAACTTTTGTTAACCTTCTTTCAGTTACTACAAGGGGTGATCAAATGAAAAGGTACGAAACGACGTAAAAACGTAACAGTTAAATATTTGCATATTCCGCCATGGGAGAACGTAGCGAGACATCTCGGGATGTGATTGGAGTCTCTGATTGGTATAGGAGCATGCGCGGGCGCACGCATGCGCAGGAAAGAGCAGAAGCTCTTATCAAAAGCGGCGCCCAAATGATGCGGCACTCCGTATGAGGACAGGATGGCGTTTGCGTTGCAAAATTCGACGACTGAGAAGCAGCGAGGTGTTAGCTATTCAACACTGCAACATCTGTTTCGGTACCAGGAAGACTCCACTTTCATGGAGCGGATCGTCACAGGTGATGGACCTGGTCCATCACTCGATCAGAGACAAAGCGGGACAGCATGCAGGGAAGCATGTTCGTCCCCTCCCTAAAAAGTTCAAAGCCGTGCCGTCAGCAGGCAAGTTTGCCACCGGCTTTTTCGACGTTCAAGGGTCCGCTACTTGCGGAATTCTTTGAGCACAAAAAAAATCATTAACTTCGTGTGTACGTGAGACACTCGACTCCTACGCAGGTCCATCAGAGCAATAAATCGGGGGCTCACGGAGGAGTGGTTCTGCTCAATGAAACTCGCGTCCACACGCTTCAGAGTCACACACATGAACTGGCCAAGTTCAAGGGGAGACTTGGACCACCCGCCTTACAGTCCGGACATGTCGCCCTGAGATTTTCATGTGTTTGGTTCACCGAGAAACACTGAAAGGGAAGCGCTTCAACTCGGACGACGTACTCAAGGACGCTGTGAAAGACTGGGTTTCGTCACGGCCACAGGAATTCTGGGAGCAAGGAATTCTGAGGCTTGTTCATCAGTGGGATCGTTGTGCTCAGGCCTATGGTGTATATTTTGAATATCTACATTTGTATCTACATTTGTAAAGTCTACATTTGTACCCACCGTGTCGTTTCGTACCTTTTCATTTGATCACCCCTTGTATGTAAAAGAATCTTTAAATCTTAAATTGTGCCGCTAAAGGTGAATGGCCTTAAATTGTGAAATGAACATTGATCACTCTCTTAAATCATAGGTCGAACAGCTCCCGAGCGGTCAAGTCGCTGAACATTATTAGTTTGAACTAGGTTTGAATCCCGACAAACGGGCTGAATGCATGATGGATTTTCGTGGTTCTCTCCATGTGTAATGTGAATACAAGTAAGTTTTCCTAAGAAAGTCATTGAAGGCACCCCTTTCCATAGACAGATAACCCAGGTAACTTTCGAGACCAAATGCACAAAGACTTAAAAGAGATGAAATTCAAAACCAGAAAAATTTCCAAAAATATTTAAATACTCAATCAAGGCCAGGAAAATTAAAGAAATGTAAAAAAAAACAAAAATTTGTGATTCTGTAATATATATAAATACATAAAGAAACATAATAAATAGGCTTAAAAATTAAAAACAAAGTTCTTATACCCGTCCTGCACTATAGCTGCAGGATTGAAGTAAAATAAACTCAAAGCATCTGAAGTTAAAAGTAAATCGGAGTCAAAGCATCTAAAGTTAAAAGTAAATCGGAGTCAAAGCAAGGCAGTTCCTCAACAATATTAATAATTGCCACCGTGTATAAGAGGTTTAACACTTATCTAAACAAATAAAAATTAAAATAAGAATTCATAGTAGTACAAACTCGAAAAATGAAAATGCAAAATGCAAAAAATATACAAGATAATAATATAAAAATAAATCTCCTTTTACTGAAACTCCAAATAAGAACTCATCAGTTGAAAAATGAATTAAGCTTCATAAAAGTCGATTAATATGTTTCGAAAACGTGTTTCCTGGTTCATTTGAGATAAAAAATCGAAAAACGAATAAATTAAATTTTCATTTAAGATATTAAAATTCATATAAAACCGAAAAATTGAAACTCAAATGTCTGCTTATTATAAGAAATGTTCAGATTTTTAATATATGCATATGCCACTTTTTTGTGCATTTACACGCAAAGGATACTCTTTTAACCAACGCACTTTTTATTCATAATTTTAATTTAATGGCAAACTAAATATGTAAGTTCCATATCTTTAATTTCGGAAGAACAAATAATTTGATAAAAAATTTGTCATTGCTGATTAAGTAGGGTAAATAGATACATATTTAGTGTGCTAGATACAAGTCGAGATACTGTTACCTGATTTACCGCCTCCTTAAGAAGTTTGAGTCACAGGGTAATCAATCAACTAAAAAAAAAAATAAACATTTTGAGAGGCATCATCGAGTTCAGCCATAACCCGCGCTCAGCTCACAATTCCAATAACGCACCGCCGGGGACATGCTCGCATTATGCATTATATTCGCATTACAAATTACGACTGACAGAATTGCGCGTATTTGGGAAAAAACAATTGCTTAATCGCGCAATTACCGAAGGGTTAACTTGCATTATGAAATTTTAATTTGATCAACATTTTATTCTGTACTAAGTTTCTTACAGCATACTGTCACTCTCAAGCAAAGGCTGTAGACATTTTGTTCATCTTAATTAAATTTAACTATTTCTTTTTTGTAGTATATATATTACACCGAAGAAAATACATTGCAAAATTAATTTAATTATCAATGCATTTCCCTTACTTTTATTTGCTGGCTATATTTAAGAACTTGCAAGTGAGTTTATGATATCAACCTAAAAATGCATAAATTATAAACCAGCTAAATAACGCAATTTATTATTTAAGACTACTTAATCAAAGTGCATATAATTTTATTTTACAGTTTGTCCAAATTTCAATGTATTAATCTGCTGTAGTGATTACAGTTAAAAAATAAAATAAAATTTGTCCTTATCTTATGTTTAAAGCTATCATAGGTATTTTAAATACTCGGAATTTTGTAGCCTAACAAGTACAAAAATTTTTGACAAAAAACGTTAATTAAAAATTGTTTTCACAATCATCTTTTTATGTTGTTATTTGGATATAATTAAAAAAATTGACAACGGAATTTGTGGCAGCGGGTGTACTAGGCAAAAAAGTAACCTGAAATAATGCAACAGCAGTTAAAATCTGTAATATTTCTGTTGAATATATTCCTGCAACTTTGCTTTCTTCGTGACCGAAATACTTGAACATTAAATGAGAGCAGATTCTGAAAACTGGTCACTGAAGGTTGGATCGAGCACTTGAGAATTGATTGAAGAAAATGATGCATGCGAGGTTTTGAGAGCGCCCAGAGAAATGGCGCGCAAAGTAGCAACCTGGCATTGTAGTGTTTTATTTTAACTTTATGTATAATAAATATATTTCATTAAAATGGCTCAATAAAAACGTAAAGAGGAAAATGAAACCAGGTTTGCAAAGGCGTGTCAAAAAGACATAGCCGGTAGGATATTGTGATTCAGCTTTGGTTAGCTTTGCTTTCCTTTTTCACGAAAAGCTATTATTCATGCACTAACTCTCTATATTTTAATACGCAAAGTTTAAAAAAGGCAATGTGATACAAATTATTTATTATATTGCCCACATTCCTCTATCCGTGCTCTTCTCAATTGAGCCTCGAATCTTGTTTCGGTCGCGAAGGAAAAAAAAATATTCAGGGATTTGTTTCGTAAGAAATATTTGCGGGGAACTTTACCCCGCAAATATTTCAAAATTCGGTTAGGCGGAAGTTCAAATTCGCTTAGGCAGACGCCTGATTTCAACACGTTATTAATTTTAGGCCAAAGCCATAAAATAAGAACACATACTGTTGAAATCTAAAATATGTATTATATCAAAAGATAAAATTAAATATATATATGTTTCATGTACTTTTTCATGTGATTATATTCCTGACAGGACACAATAGTTGCCTTACAAGCTCTGGCCAAATATTCCGCCTTAACTTCCAAAGCAACTGTGGATATAGATTTAGTCCTAAAAAGTGATGAACTTATTCAAAACTTCAAACTGGATGAAAATAATAGGCTGGTAACTCAAACAGCAAACATCCCGGTCTTACCAACTGTTGTTGCCTTCCAAGCTGTAGGAGGTGGATGTGCCTTAGTGCAAGTGAGTTATATTTTTTTGACAGGAAATAATTATGCCTTTCTTTTTTATAAATTTTTTAATTAGAAGGATTAAATATTTCATATAATAACTGTGTAAATAAGTATAAATCAAACAATATTTTGACGTTATGCAAATTTAAATTGAGATTAGATTTATGTACTCTAAGGGAAAGGCATACGCACATTTATTTCCTTCTAGCGCAGAGTTTTCGGTGATAAAAATGTAATTTGTCAGACAATCATAGTGATCATAATTTAGTTATAAAATGACAAAATGATTTTTTTTAACCAAGAACTGAGAATATGCTCTGGTCGAAACTAAATTACGTGCCTGGAATCTTCGTTTCAGAACAGTATAAAAAATGAGAATAAGAAACCAAATTAAATTTTATACAATGTAAGTTTAAGTAACAAAACTGAACAAACTGCATCTTATGCATACCTGATGATAACCATTCGACTATGGGAAGATTAATACTATTGAATAATTGTTTTTTAAAAGATGAACATTTCATTTTTGCCGCTGTCGAAAAGTCAACAGTAATAAGGTAATTTCTGATAATCTGTTATGCAGTAATGTCTTATTCTGTAAATATTTCCGAAGTACAGTGGTTTGATATATCGGTGTTCATCGAAAACATCGCGGGCGAAAACGTCGTGGAGAAAACAACGCTAGGGAAAAACGTTGTAGTACAAAACATCGTAGGAGAAAAGAAAGTAAAGAGGAAACATCGCAGTTCTAAACCAGGTTTTAAAAAAGTTGTAAGTACATTTTTGAATAATGACCTGGGAACATAAGAAAAGGAAAGAGGGTATTTTTACTTCTATATTTCATACCTCTGAATGGACTGATAAATATTTGCTGAAAAAAGTAAGAAGGAAACTTGAGCATTTAAAATTGAAAATAAGTAGAAAATTGATGCAATTTTATAGCACTTAATAGAATTTTGTATTTGCATAGTTAATTAATAAAGGTTATTAATAAATTAATATTTTTTATAAAGTTTTACTCAAATATTTTCATGAAATTAAAAAGTCAAAAATGTCATTCTAAAAATGTTTAGAAAAAGGAAGATAAATATCTGCATGAGGTTACTCCTGTACAAATTGCTTAGTTAATTATCAAATTATTTTCTTTCAAGTTTGTTAACCTGTTGTTTTAGTGAAAATGATATCTTGTTTTGCTTCCGTTTATTCTTAAAGTGTCGTTAACATTGTCACCCTCTTTCCTTCTTGTGCTCTAAAATCATTATACGAAAACGCATATGTGCGATGTTATCGTCATGCACTGATTTGTAGGTGCTTTACAAGTATTTGTATTTTTTACCACGATATTTTAGATGACGATGTTTTTAAACTGCGAAGTTTTTGAATCGCTTTATTTTCGACCACGATATTTTATACAACGATGTTTTTAGAACCGTGATATATATTTTCTCTTTGCTTTCTTTTCTCCCACGATGTTTTGTACCACGACGTTTTCGCCTTGCGTTGTTTTCTCCGCGACATTTTAGTCCGCGATGTTTTTGCTGGGATAGTTTCGTCTGTAACCGATAGATCATTATTTTGTGCTTGCTTTTATTATCATTATATATGAAAGCTAAGTTTGCTTTAGAGAATAAGTATAAATGAGCATACTGAATTTAAAATTAGGAATATAAAATAACAAATTCTCTGAATTATTTTGCTATAGTAGATTCTTTGGTATCGCAGTCACATAACTCAATTAATCTTAGTTTTTCGTATCTGCATATAGTCTTGATTCTCAATACTAAATTTGAAAAAAAAAAAAAAAGAAAAATAATATTATTAGAGAAGTATTGCATGAGATAACATGGGTTTTCTGAAATGTATTAATCTGGAATAATAGACCAATTATTAATACCGATTGGTAATTACCCGTCGTCGAATTGATCAGACAATTGCCTAGTTGATTTGCTCGAACGATATTTAGATATTTAGTCTATGTAGGACATGAGAAATTCATTCTAGCTTGTAATACTTATTAATGGTGGAAATTATAAGACATAATTATTTAGCTAATTTTGCTCTGATCCCTATTTTCTAATTTTTAACTGCTGGACTCTTTAAGAGAGTCAGATGTCTTATCTTATCTCGTCTTAAACTTCTAAGTAAAATAACTCCAAAAAAGTTTGAAATAAAACTTTTTATAATTAGAGAGTCTGTATATTACAGAAAACCATCTCCACAGCTGCTGGATAAGTAGAACATATGATGACTGTACAAATTAATAAATAAATGTAAATATGTTAAAATGTTAGCTCCAGGTTGTGAAAAGTTTAAAAAATTCGCACAATTTTCGTCTGAAATCCGTTCAAAGAATAAGTTCGCCTAAACTTTAAAAAATGGATTCGTCCATGTAGTTATTGTTTATGTCTTATTAACAAAGGCAAACCCTACCAAATTACCTGCGAAAGTTACATCGAACCTTTTTTCTTCTAATTGTTGAACTTTATGCCAACACTAACCTAATACAAGAACCGATTAGTCCCAGTGAAGCAATACGAATTGAGATTTTAGTCTAGGATTTCGCTGAGGCAACTGCACATTCACTTTCTCTAATTATTTATGGGTGGTTTGAGGCCTAAGAGAGAGACAACAATAAGAATGGGCGAGATTCAAAATGGAGAGAAGAAACAATGAAGATATCTCATTAAATATTTTATAATTAATATTACTAAGTATTCTTATTGAAATAAAATTTTCCTTTAAAGAAATAATATGGTGATAGTTATTTTAGTTTATCCATGACTACTTTTTATTTGTTACATTCTAGCCGTAAACCGCGTCTTTTGGAAATTAATTATGAATCTCTTTTAATGTCGCATGATTTTTACCTCTCGAATATCAAACGATAAAATTAGTAAAAAAAGAGGAAAAATACTCGAGGAAATACAATAATTCTTTAACTTAAATATTATGTTGTTTAAAGTTATTTTAATATTTTGGTCTAAGGCAGGGTTTCTTGAACTGTGGGTAACGACCCCCAAGGGGGTCGCGGAACTTGCAGCACGGGGTTGCCAAAAATTCTAGCAATTTCGATATTTCTTTAACTTATTATAATAATTTTACAATTACCAATTATTTTTACACGATATGTCTGAAAATAAATAAAGATAAGACAGACAAAGAAAAAAAAAACGAAAACGTTTCGACGCATTCTTTTTATAATATAAACGTCCATTTTCCTTGCTTTGCACATTACTCTGTCATTTCATCTGTTATATATTTAAAATTTTCACATTGTTCTATGTCTTAAAATCAGAAATTAAAGTTCATGACTTAAACCTGCAATAGTATATTACAGTACAAGTGAAAAAATTGACAGTTTTCACTCATGCGTGTGTCGGATTTGCGCAATACTTATGAGGTACCACAAAATGTGTCTAAATATTACAGGGTCCTGGGGGTCGTGAAAAAATCTCAATGATGAAAAGGGGTCGCGACTGAAAAAAATTTAAGAAACCCTTAGACCAGGTACTTACTTTAGACCAGGTAATGCATACATTACCTGGTCTAAGGTAATGTATGTATGTTTTATTAATAATCGACCATTTAAAATACTTTTACTTGTTTATTCTTAGTTTATTTAATCCAGGGTCATAATTGTTTATTTTCTAATTTTTTATAGATTTCTTTGCGATACAATGTAAAGACTGTTCTGGGAAGTGATGCCTTTGACCTCCATGTTAAAGCTGTTCGTCAAGGAAGCAACAACTGTAACTCACTGCGCATTGACATTTGCATGAGGTAAATTTCTTTATTACAAATGTTAAGTGAATAATTCTTTGTGCATTTACATTGTTTACCAGACATAACATTTTCCATCGGAGCACAAATATAACTTTTTTCAGACGTGACATTTTGGAGATGGAACAACGGTTATTAACTCTACTGTAATCGATGTCTTGATTTTATCACACTGATTTAGATACTTTCAATAATAAAAATATGACCGTCACGGCTGTCTCTCATTATTGCGGATGGCAGCACCACGCCTATAAGAAATTGTAAATCTGTCATTCATTCTCTTCCCATGATGTAATCGTAGCCTACACAAAAATATACTGTTCTTAAAAAAATAGCAGAAATGTTAGGATTATGTTACCTCTGACAAGTTACCTCTTCAAAAACCATGGTAATGTTTTCTACAGCATGACTATGCCGACATTTCTAAACGTAAAATAGTTTTACTAAAGTACTTTCTGTGATGTTGAGCTATCTGTAATTCATTAAGTCAATCTGAATTTTAAACAATGGATATTTTTTCACAAAATATATTGGTTTCCAAAAGTTAAGTAACTAAGAGTTTCCCCTATAGGACCAAAGTAATTTGCAGGAAAATAGTTTGGTTTGATTTATTTAGTTATGGGAGAGCCCTCGAGAGCTATCTGCCTAAGGAAAGGGATGCCTTCGTGAAGGACTTTCTAAAGGAAACTGATTCGTATACACGTTACACATAGGGAAAACCACGAAAATACCCATGCAGGCAGCCCGTTCAGCAGAATTTGAGCCTCGGACAGAACTACCAGTGTTCAGCAACTTTACCGCTCAGCCGCTGGCCAGCTCCTACAAGAAAATAAAATATATTTAATTATCAGCTAAGAATGAAGGCTGAGAAATTATTTTGCATAAATGAAAGCTATCATTTAATCTTTTTCATTAGGTGTTGTTACGAATTGTACAGGCGCGGTAAGATAGCTTCCCCGCAAAGCAGTTTTAGGGGATGGCAGCACCACGCTTATAAGAAAATTGTAAATCGGGCATTCATTCATCTCATCTTTCCTAACCTACCACTTTACCCCTTCTTCGTCCCCTCCACCCACTCCCCCTCCCTCTTCCCCTCTCCTATACTTCTTTCTCTCCCCCCACCCTCCCTCCTTGTTTTCCTTCCCCTCTTCACATGATCCCCCCTTATGCCCCCTACTCGTTCCCCGTCCAAACCCTCGTAATTTTCCAATTCTTTGACCCCCTTTTCTAACTCTCTTTTCCTCTCGTAACTTTCTGTATGTTGAGCTTCTTCATTCTAGTCTACCTTTTTTTTAAACCCTCCTACGCAAACTTTTTCAAAACTTCTGCCTCTTTCCCTTTTTTCACCTTTCGTTTTATTTCTAGGTTCCCCCCCCCTCTCCTCCATCTCCCCTACCAAGGGATGCTTCTGAAGGACTTTCTTTCCCCACTTTTCGTTTTCTACACTTTCCATATTTGGCTTCTTTTGCCCACTTAAAATTACCCTCATTCACCCCTCCTTACCGTTTTCTACTCTGTTTTTTTTTACCCTCCCCTCCCCCTCAGTCATCCTTCCCCCCAGCTAGAATTTACTCAGTAATTATTTGCCCCTCCCTCTTTTTTTTCTTACTCTTTTACGATTGTCCTACCTTCTCTCCCCCACCAAGTTTATCTTCTTCCCCAAATACACTCTTTTCATTCTCCACTTTTCCCTCCTCGCGTCTATCCATCCCGGATCTTACCTTGAACCATTCTACCTTATCTCACCCTCCCTTCCCCACCCCCCCTCTATATACCCTACGCCCCATCTTTAGTTTAACCTCGTCTTCCCGCGAATTCGCTCGAGTTAGTCCGTGCGGAATCGCTCGCTTGACAGAGGGCAGCGAAGCCGAGTGGGTCGTCGAGGCACGAAGAGTCTCTTAATGTATCGCGGTTAGTGCATCGTCGAGAGAGTGTGTTAAGTCCGGGAACGACTGACGAAAGAGTCGGGAGCGTGCTATGGTGTCTTCGCGTGCATCGCGGTGTAGGTGGAGAGTTCGAGATACGTGGAGTTACGAGAACGACCGAGCAGAGTGGGAGCGTACTTGGTGCTTTGCAGTGAAGCTGTCTCCACCGTTATTGCCTGACATTGTGAAGGCTGTGTCGCTGATTGTTCCAGCGTGTTTATTGTAGATCTTCGACGAGTGTAAAAGTGTTTTGGACACTCCAAATCCACACGAACCCCGTACGAACGTAACAACTAAATACTAAAATTTGGACTTGATATATTTCGCGCAATGTTTCGGAGGATTCAAAACGATGCTTCTGATCAACTTACGTTACCTTTTAGTGCCACCGTAAATGATTCATTTGTTTTAATGGAAGGTAATGTTCTGCCGCTTACAGTAATTTTAAACTAAACTTTAATAATATGCCATTAAAAAAAGTCTTTTATACAAGAAGTTTTTATTTAAAATGGATATGACAATTAATGCACTAGAAAGAAAAAAGCAATTTAACAAATAAGTTTATGGTAATAAAAGATTAAATAATGCAGAATTCATATGCAATTTTATGTCACGAATAATAAAAACTTAGGGCACCCTTAATAAATTAAAAAAGGTAATGGCTTATACATCTGACGATAAGATTAAATTAACAGAATTTAATATCCTAATGACTTATACATTTAACGGTGCAGTTAAATGAATAGATTTCGTTATTTAGGCGTCCCACATTTTATTATTCGCGGTATAAAATTGTAGATACATTCTGTAAATAGAATTATTTAATCTATTATTTTCATTAAAATATATGATAAATCATTTGTCTCCTTTTAGTCCAATAATTAGCATATTAATTTAAAATAAAAGGTTATTGTGTAAAAAAAAACCTTCATTTGCTGTTTTTTAATCTCAGTTACACGTTATCAATAATGGAATTTTTAGTCATTATTAAAACACACCCAATAAATATAAGAAAATTACGAAATGAAAAGCCTGGACTTGATTCCTAGCAAGAAGAAATCGTTTTTAATAGCCAATTTCGGAAATAGGGTATAATAATAATTTTAGAACTCGTGTTTTACTTAAAACTAATTTCGGTAATAAGTACACATATTCGGTAATAAGTGCGCCTAACAACTAACAAGATGGCAAACTCAAGACGCTTTTATCTCCCGTCTGGTTCAGACAGGACTACTGTTTTTTTTCAAATGTAGAATATCACTCAATTAATATTCTTTTTATCATTCTTGTTGCAAAAAAAAGTTCAGAATACTTGTTTCATAATCTGTGAAAATTTCAAAACTTTATATCCGATGCATTTTCAGATGTTGAAATTTTAAAATCATAAACGCAAAGTAGTCTAAAAATCTAGCGATTTTCAAATGTTCCTCCAAAATTCAGAAATTAAGTTACAGTTTCATAAAATTTTCATTGGAAAGATTTTTTTTCGCTCTATTCAGTGGTGCAAAGAGTAAAATTGTGATATGCTTAGTTTGTTTTTTAAACGAAATAGGCGAAACATAATAATAAATAAAAGAAATCTAAATATGACTCTGAAAATATCGCTTCACCAAACTGCATTGTTATCAACAAATAGTGCGTTTACAAAATCTAAACTCGATAGCTTATCAAAAAGTAGGTTAAAAATCAATGATAAAAATTCTAACTGCAGTGAAACAAACACCTTGAGTGAACTAAATAAAAGCTTATAAAAATCATGCAATTCGGCTAATATAACGGATCAGATTTGTCCCTAAGTTTGAATGAACTGGACATTAATGGTGCCTCTACTAGATTAAGGAGGTAGGTGCCTTGTGATCTTTTCCAAGATCGCTGAATGAATTACTAGGGAAATATTGTGTACTGCCTCTTCACTTAATTTGAGTGATGGCATGCAGAGAAAACGTAAAAGTGATAATGGAGTCTAATAATTTAAAGAGGAAAACAAGGACAAAAAGCTGATAAGTACATTATAAATCAGTCTGTAGTTTACATCTGTGCTGTATTTATTCTTCAGGTCTTATGAACAATAAATATTTCTGTTATATTTATTGTTATTTATTGTCATAATATGTCTGCTATAATTATTGTCAATTTTTTATTTAAAAAAATTTTATGGTACTGTGTGCAAACAAAATTGTATGCAAAAAGAATGGTATGTAAACATGCTTGTAAAATGTGATTCTCTAAATAAATGCCACAGGTCTGCAGACCCAGCGTTTGGCTGCGTATAGTAGAGAGTTCCAAGCAATGAGCATCAATGCAAAAATCTAATTGTTCGTTAAATTTTAAAAGGAAATGCATTTACTATTGCAAAAGTGCAGGCTGCCAAATTTTTTAAATGCCGTTTGTAGACTTTGAATAGAAATGATAAAATTCTGATGAACTCTTTCACTGCTAGATTTTGTACTATTACGCCATACATTTTTAACTGCGAACAAATACAAATTATAACGTAAACAACATACGCTCACAGGCTTGAAGATTTAGCGTCACAAGAGCAATAGAAGCTCATTGGTCCATTTTCGAAACCCCTCCCTCCATTTTCGAAACCCCTCCCTCAGTGGCTACGCTGATGTGCACTTGTGAAATATGCTTCCCGAGATACAATCCATGCTTAGAAAAATTCACAACTTTTTTTTTTTTTTTTCAACTGTAGTTTAAATTTAATTTAAACTCTATTTATGTTATTCAAATAGTGTTGATTTGAATTTCTTAGAAAATACATGCAATAAAAAGTGAGTTATAAAAGTTAAATTAAGTCATTTGAAATATGGCTAACCCACGAGGACCATCTGCCTAAGAAAAGGGATGCCTTCGTAAAGAACTTTCTGAGTCAAACTGGCTCGTATTCACATTACACATGGGGAAAATCACGGAAACCAGCCATGCAACCAGCTTGTTCGCCTGAAATATACAGCAGTCGGAACTATCAGTATTCAGTAGTTTTAACCGCTCTGCCACTGATGGGGCTAGTGAATAATAAAATTGCATTTAAATGTAATATACTATTGCATATTTTTACTTCTGATAATATGATATGACTTCATTAAATTGCGGATGTTTGGTTAAACGTACCTGTTTCGGTGTTCTTTTATTTATATTTGTTATATTATGCAATTTCTTCTTAAATGTGTTCCGTATTCCCCAAACCAGAAATGTTTCTAAAGCATGTCTATTATAGGCTTTTATAAATCATAAACTTCTGGTATTTTTTTATCTGACGCACTAAAATTTCATCTTTCAAATGCAGAAAAATATTTCTGAAGTATGTAAGACAGTGTTTTATAAGTAGCATTTTTTTAGCAAAGATCCTGCTATTATTCATGCCACCAGGGCAGGTGCGCTAAATGTTAGTAGATCAACGCGGATTCAAATCCCAGTGAACCGTCTGCCTGGCCGCATATTTTCGTTGTTTTCCCCATGTGTAACGTGAAAACCAGCCATTTCCATTATGAAATCCTCCAAGAAAGCATCCACATCTTTTAGGTAAAGTGTTCTTGTACACTTTATTATAATCCAATAAAACTAATCTAATAAGTATGTACTTTGTCCATAGGTACAAGGATACTGATGGATCATCAAATATGGTCGTAGTTGCAGTAAAGATGGCATCAGGCTTTATACCAAGTGAAATGAGTCTTGATAAGGTAAGTTATCTTAGGGGACTTAATTCGAAGGAATACAATGTAAAACTTGATTAATCTAAAGGCATATTTTTAATTTTCGCATAAATTTAATCGAATTGCAAAATGTTTTAGGAAAAGTGATGATATTATGCATTTCGAGAAGTTTATAAGAGAAACACTGTTCTAATTTAAGAAATGAATCAAATAAGGTAGCCTTTTAAACTATTATTTGTTTGGCGCGATATAAAGTGTTGCGAAATTTTGGGGGGTCCTCTAGTAAAGAAATATTGGCATAATTAGTCAAACAGCAAAGACCATGCGCTTATTATAAAACATTTATCTATGATATTATTAATTAAAATTTTTGTCGATTTTTAAATACTTCTAAGGACAGTTATAAAATTATATTTATGTCAGTTTGTTTAATATTATGAGTGTACGTATTTAAAAGCATTGGTTTTGAATTTTCATTCGCAGGATTTGAATTCATTTGACGGGTGACCTCGATCCACCTAGCTAATTTAATGTTGACTCCTAAGGTCGTCATGGAACTAAGCCGTGCAGTAAAAGAGAAAGCAAATCATACTTCCTGCACATATTAATCATACATAACTCCGGAAAACTAGGATGCAGGAAATGAGTAACAAAAGGAATGAAAAATAAAAAAATACACAAAAATAACCGTGTATTCCCCCCCCTCGCGTATTTTTCTCCCTAGCTTCTCAGTGTCCGGTTCTGAAATTTGTAAAAATATTCCTGTAATTTTCCTCTTCCTCAATGCGTCAACCCATTTGCCGAATAAATGTAATCAGTAAATATCGCGAAGCAAAAACAAGAAGGCTGAGACTAAATGTATCAAAGAAATTTTCTACTGATACTTCAATACCTACAATATCTCTATTAGTACTAATTGCTAATTACTTCAGCCATTTCTAGTAAAAAGCAAGATCCTTTTTATACGATTTTATGGCTGCATTTTTTACTAAAATCAAGACATAAATTCCTTGGGTTCTGCGTTAACGGACATGACTCAACGAAGTGCCTATTGTTTCTAACATCGTTATATACAATTTGTGCATAGATTAGAACCTTGTAGTGTACTTTTGCTTGTATAGAAAATTTTAATATTCTTTAGACCCTATTAGACTGAAAAGTGAGTTATCGCTCCAGCCACCTTTTTTACTGAATTCAAATGGCAAAGCGTTAGAAAAGTTAAAATAACCATTTTGTTGAACTCTTTAAATTAAGAGAAGACTCCACTTGTGTTGCTCGTGGTATTTAAAATAACATAAAACTTAAGTTTAAATTCGAGGAACGTAGTCTGAGAGTACACACAAAATAGTCTACTTAAGCTGATTCAACTAGCCAACGACGCCTATTTATATGTCGCCTAGTAAAATAGATAAAGCCGGAATAAACTTGGGCATAGCCTGGCGATAGTACATAATTGCTATGGTATGTTGCCAAAAGCTCTAAATCAAAATAAAATATTCAAACCCTCGGCTTAGTAAAATTCTACAACCTTCGAATTCAAACCTGTTTAAAACCGGGAACCATTCATGACAAGTCATAATTTGCGTTAGAATTAATATCATTACATATTTTCATATTTTTATGAATTGACGTGAGTTTAAAATAGCTTTTATTTTCTCGAAAGGCCTCTAGCACTGAATCCATTCTTCAACAATTTTATTTTTTACTTATGTTAAAGCTTTCCTTTTTAAACCTGCTATATAATTAATTAAATATGCATTTCCAAGTGCAGCATCCTTTGCTAATGCGTCAGCTCTGTCATTATCAAAATACAAAGCTAGCTTTAATCCAATGCAGTTTTTTAAGTTATGCCTTTTTCCAAACTTTTAAGAAAAGTATAATAATGCGGTATGTCTAAATTGTGTATAATTCAGTGCATGCAGAAAGTGTTCAAAATTATTTATTATTTGTCCAAAAGAGCGTTAGCCTCAAAATGGTATTTTGTGTTGAATGACTTTTCAAATTGTTGCCACCAAAAAGAAATTAAATAATAAATGATTTGTATGAATGGATAGATGTGTTTCGCATTTTTAAAAAACAACGTTACCTAAGCCATCAAATTATGAACAACGTAGTTCTCCACCCGAATATGGACACCTGGAAACCCGAATTTTGAATTTCGAATTCTTTTATTGTGTGTTTCATATTTTTCAAATCTTTAACGATTTTTTTATAAACAAACTCAACGATTTCAAAGCGAGGAATGGCAACACTGTACGTGAAGAAGTATTTCTATCTCCAACTCATGAGACTGTCTACCGTAAATTCTAAAGATAGGTTGTTTTTAAATATTTTAGCTTAAAGCGAACATCAACCGAAATGCTTTCGAAACGTGTATATGTATGCAAATGAAACAAAACGCCCCTTTGGGCGTAATACAAAATCTGAAAGCTTTCAGATTTTTTCCTCTTACATTTATTATATGTAAAGATATCACGAATGTAGTCGTAATAATAACAATTGTTTTTTTATTTCCCAGCTGCTGTCAAATCAAACGATACGACTGAAGCGTTATGACGTGGAAGGCAATCTCGTGAATTTGTACTTTAATGAAGTAAGTATCCGTCTTTATTTCAACTGACTTGAAATAACTTCTATAATTACATTATAAAAAAAGAGTTATTTCAGAGCGGAATCTTTATTTCATTCATCCTTTTCTGTAATAATTTTATCCTAAGGACTTATCTTCTCAGAATTTTCTTTCTTATTTAATTTTTTTGCCTGATATATGAATGGTATATTAACTTGGTTAAAATTCGACGTATTCTAGTTTCAGAAAAGAACTGAATTATGAAGTAATCATAATAATATTTAAAAAAGATGTAAATTTGCATATTAATTAGTATATTTTTTCCTTCACTTCTTCCAGAAACAGGAAAGTCAGGTTTTGAAAATTTTGTAAATTCTGCTATGTACCGCAGTCTGCACTTTTACATTTTTACCACTCATCTTATTGATCAACAGGAAATATATATACTATGTTCACAGAAGTCCTTAGCCACCCTTTATTTTCGCATCCGTTGGACATAGACATATACTCCCAACAACGAAAATGTTTCTAATGACGTTGTAATAATTTATTTTTCTTATAGTTATTTTTATTATGAAACAAGCCTTTTCTTTTCCTTCTAAATTCCAACCTACGTTTCCCTGCCAGAAAGAGTTTTTAGAATTACGCTTTATTCAAATGAGGTAGAAACGAGTATTTAAGCTAAGGTTTGAGTTGCTTCAGTAAAAGAGCGTGTTCTGCGTTTCGGCCACGTTGTTGCTCCAGTTAAAGCTTGTTATTCTACTGCCGCATTTTATACAAGCATGCTAGTTTACGCCGGTTATCCTTAATTAAGGACCAACTAGGAGAGTTTGATTCTGTGCAGCTTCGGCTGATTAAATTTATCTAGCATTTTAGTTTAATATTTTCTATTTTGAGTTAAAGCCCAAGAAGAGGCTTCTTGTACGCGCAAGAGAGGCCATCTGTAAATACATTTTGAGTTAAAATAAAAGAGTTTTTTAACTCTTCTTCAGAGTTATTACTTACAAGAACTCAAAGAACAGTCTCTACACAGTTCTTCAGTGTTTAACATTCAGACAAGTGAAATTTTAACTTTTTTACATATTTCTTCGGTGCCTGTCTTTATGTTCAGGAACAGAAAACGTAAACAGGAGTTTCACTCCTGTGCGAGAAAAATTGGCACAGATATGTTTTCAAAATTTATGATTTTGACGTCATTCTGAACTTGCATCAGGGGATCGGTTAATAAATAAATAAGAATAATTCGAGGTTGATATTGTTTTCTTTAAATGCCATTCAATGATATTCTTCTGGGATTTACTAGCACTTTTAATTTACAATTTAATTATGCCGAAAAAAATTTTCGTACAAGTAAGTCATATGTTTTCAATGTCTAAAAATGCGTTACTAATATTCTCAGGAAGTTTTATTACTTTAGAATCAATCATTACTTTAGAAAAAATCATTACAATACAAATATTTTTTGTTTAAATTAATGCAAATAACACTACGGAATGAGAACATTGCAATAATGAAGCCTGTCAGTGTTTTCTAGAGCACGAATTCTCTAACATCTTATGAATATGATCTCTAATTTGAGAGGGGACAAATATTATTGATCAATATTCTTTGCAATAATCTGCATAAAATGCTCGTCATGCAATCTCTTAACATCAGAAATATTTTTGGAAACGATTATTTTGCTTTTAATTACCTACAAATGCAAGCATTAAGTTTTTCAATTTGTGTACGGCTCCTGAATATGATTCTCAATTTAAATATCAAAGATTTTGGTCAAGTTTGGTCGTAAGAGACGAAACTTTTTAGGTTTTACTTTTTGTAACGAGTTCAAAATTTTTTAAATATGTGTAGAAGGAGCGGAGGAATGTATAAAAGGTTAGAATTCATATTTTATTAAAAAATTAGTTTTTTATAAATTTAGAAAAACGAAAACATGAATGTTTCATTCGTTATAGCATTTTTGTAACTGAAAGTATACGTCCGTTGCAACATATACCTTTACAAAAATAAAAGCCGGAATATACGGAATAAAGGACTTTTGTTGAGAAGTACATCTTAATAGCAGAAAAAAACTATGGGATTGCAAGTTGAGCAAACTGCTATTCTTCGAGGTTTTTTTCTGCGCGCTGTTATGTTCTACATGAAAAGTTCATTTAATACAACATTAATAATAAATCTTTGCAGTATTTACAAGCAACACCCTAATTAACTAAGTTATATGGAATGTGAAGGTACATGGATATTTTGATCTGGACGCTAGTTTTCTAATCCACTAGTAGCCTTTTCAAGAAATAGTAACAGAAGTTTTTAAAAGAAAGCTTTTGAAGCCACTTTACGTGTATTTGTGTAGTCTCTACATATTTCCTTGCACATGTAACACATTCCAAAAGTCTGCATGTAAGCTGTAAAACATTTCAAATTCAATAATTTGCTTTTTGGTGAAGATATAATGCAAGAAAGGCCTGAAAATGCTTGAAAATTAAAAATGTTTCTAGACTAATTTAAGTCCACCTGAGGTTTCACTTCAGCCTCTTTGTTCCTAAATATATGATTCCACTTTTGAAATATTTCTCTTAAAATTTGGCAACAACAGTATTCTCACCCTTGAAGAAATTTAAGCACTGAATTTTATGACATTCATGCTGAATGAAATTTCGCCACATATTTTTTTCTGTTTTGGTGGGAAAAAAAAAAAAAAAAAAAACAGTATTTGGTGAAAAAAAAACAATAATATTTTCAGTATAAATGCAAATTTAGAGATCCTTAAACCTCGGATTATTTTTATTATTGTTATTATTTTGGGACTATCTCAATTAACGGATGTATAGATAACATCTAATAATACTAGCAAAATGAAAGAACACTTTGTGATGTCTAAGATGCCCATAAAAAAGTTATAATTTTTGCTGCTTCTTCATATATTTGTCGGTAATCATATCGATTTTAGTTAGATATTTATTTCTTAGATGGCGCCACTAAATCGCTATTTTTAAATTCAAAGAGGCAATAAAATAGAAAGAAAAAGCGAGAAATAATTAAAACAACAACTAATTTTAGTGCCACCATCTTCCAAATAAATAAATAAATAGAGCTAAAAGTAATGGATCGCATACTACATGACTATCCTTTGCTTACCCTCATTTTCAGGTTGTGCTCAGTAATGATTGATGGCTGCTGTATTCAACACAAACTTCCAACTATTCTGAGTCGTCTTTTTGTGGTTTAGCTTGTTCGATTACGGCAAAGTATTCTAAAGTTATTTGACTGAGAGGTGAATGCCTTCATGAGAGTACTTTTTAAGGCAAATTGCGTTGTATCCACATTACACGAGGGAAAAACCACGAGAGCGATCATACGGCCAGCCCATTCACCTGGAATCGAACCCATGTCGAATTATCAGTATTCAGAGACTTCACCGCTGGGGGGACCTCTCTTGAGGATAATGGAAGGGTGCTGAACTGTAATAGACAAACCTAATTCTAATTAGTATTATATTTAAATAGTAAAATTGTTTGTAAAAAGTCTTGCAAATGAATGGTTTTTATACCTTATCTGTTGATTGCGTTACTATGTACTGAACTTAACTTCAGATGTTTGGATCAACCTATGCTTTAGAACGAATCTGTAAAAAATTTTATTTTATACTTAAATAATCATAAATATATATAGGTGTTTTACATATAAGAATGTATAAAAACAAATAATAAAAGAAAGTTCGATGTGTATTTGAACTAATATGATAAATTAACTTTGCTGTCCAATTAATAAGCTCTTAAGTTAACAGCAAACTTTTTTTATTTGGGTTGGTTTATTTAATTATGGCAAAACAACACTGGAGGACTATCTGCCTAAGGGAAGGAATGCCTTCGTGGACGATTTTCTGAGACCAAAAACTTTACTTTGCACAGAAGTGTGAACACAGTTGACCGCTATATCTAACGAATTATAAACTCTCTTAATTCAAAGCACTCTTTAAAAAATGAAACAGTTTTCCCGTTTATTGGCAGAAGATTATATAAATTATTCAGTATTTCTGCATAAATATGTAAAATTTATATGTGATTAAAATATTGTTTTAGAAATAGGAAGTACGGAAGTTCTAAGAATCCTTTAAAAATGATTTGAAATGAATTAATTACGTAATCTTTCTTTAAATGACTGATTTTGATATTTTACAGCTTACGAATGAACTTAAATGCTTCAGTTTCTGTATAAAGAATGAAATTGATGTTCAAGATGTAAAACCAGCAATTGTGAAATTGTACGATTATTATCAACCTGGTGAGTTTAACGAACCTGAATATATAATTGCTTAATTAATTTTCTTTCTTAAAAACAAAAAATTCTGATATGAATGCTTGAAAATATGTTAATGTGTTACATATTTACGGATTAAAATAATAAAAATATAAACGCAGTCAACAAAAGACATTAACTCATAAATGCATTAAATATATCCAAAAATAGTGTAGAAAAAACGGACATTAATCTAAATTACTTATACAGTAAACCTTTGTCAAACGCGGGGGCGGGGGGGGGGGTTACCTCAATAATCATAACGCGTACGGCAAAATCAAGTTCTGCAAATTTACGTTTATATGAACAAATTGCATCAGAAAAAAAATCTTTCTTTAAATGACTGATTTTGATATTTTACAGCTTACGAATGAACTTAAATGCTTCAGTTTCTGTATAAAGAATGAAATTGATGTTCAAGATGTAAAACCAGCAATTGTGAAATTGTACGATTATTATCAACCTGGTGAGTTTAACGAACCTGAATATATAATTGCTTAATTAATTTTCTTTCTTAAAAACAAAAAATTCTGATATGAATGCTTGAAAATATGTTAATGTGTTACATATTTACGGATTAAAATAATAAAAATATAAACGCAGTCAACAAAAGACATTAACTCATAAATGCATTAAATATATCCAAAAATAGTGTAGAAAAAACGGACATTAATATAAATTACTTATACAGTAAACCTTTGTCAAACGCGGGGGGGGGGGTTACCTCAATAATCATAACGCGTACGGCAAAATCAAGTTCTGCAAATTTACGTTTATATGAACAAATTGCATCAGAAAAAAAAATTCAGACTTAGAAAGTATGTATAACTTGAAAAAAGGAACAAATGTTTAATTGAAAGAATTTTTATTATTGCTTAATAAGTACGTGAAGCAATTTTTTAGCTAGTGGGTTTTTTTTTTTTTTAAATCTCTGGGACAACGACTTGAGCATAGAGATTTTCAGTTGTCTGCCAAAGTGTCCTTTCCCTTCTTTATTTGGGTGTCAATTTCCACTGCAAAATCAGCGGGGTTCCCTTTTAAACAATTCGTTTGCCGCCTAGCTTGGAGCTTGGAAGAGGGCTTTTCTTAACGCTTGAAGACGAATCGAGACAGCCTTGTTTCTTTTGTTTAAATCTGAAAAATAATGAGCAGATATGAGAGGTGACTAGATGGTTTGGTCAGGTGACCCAAAATCTTTTACATGTAAATTTACTCTTGGGAGCTCGCAGGTGTACGTGAGGTGATCCTTTGAGCAGGAAAAGTATCGTGAACGATAATAGGTTTTTGGTGCTTTACCCAGGACTTAATTTATCATTTATTTCCTCGAAGAAGACTGGTAGGTAAACAATACCGGATTTTGTCTTCTTTTTTTGAGCTGAACTACCTTTGCACCACTGAGGATGGTGGACAAGTACCAGGTTTATTTTCCTTTATCGCAAGAATTAGGGAAGAAGTTCCATCATGGAATTCATTCCAGACAGTTGAAAGGATTCTCCATTGGGATGTGTTAGGGACAGTTTGCTAACATTTATACTGTGTCGGGAGTCAGCAACTGAAGAAATTTCAGAGGAGCTCGTAGTCTACATTTTGGATTCATTGAGTCATACAGTATTCATTGAGTCAAGGGTTATACTACTTTCCTTGAGGAAAATTCGGAGTCTTACACTTTTCTCATGATACTTTCGATCTGAAACCCAGTGGCTTTCAGCGTCTTTAGGTTGGCTACGTCCTCAAGTTGTCCTCAGAGGGTTGTCTACGTTACCCTTGAGACTAAGATATTGTTCCTGCGTTTGAGCAGCATGTTGCTGGGTATCCAGTCTCATAAAGTAAATTTCGTGTTATGTTCAGGTCACTAAAAACATACTCTTTATGAGTTTCCGGTCTAGCTGAGTAGATTTTAAGATCATATAAGGTGTTTTCATTCATCGTAAAAGTATGGACAAAGAGCTTATAAAATGCATACGTCGTTCATCGACGTCAGTCCTTGAATTTTCTACTCCTTTAGTTCTCAGTCCAAGACTTTTTTCACACTTGAAATGCATGCAGTTTGTGGATAACGATGCCGTTACCTTCAGTGTACAAGAATAGATTCACAGCCAATTTTGGAAAGCTTCTATGAAATGAGCGTGAAAATTCTTCAAGAAAGTTGGCAAAAATATATCGACTCTTGAGGGAAGTACGTTGATAGGTGACATGTTCAACACTTTCATTAGCAATAAAGCAGTAGTTCTCAATCTTTTCAGCCTAACGCACTCCTATCGCATTGCTAGATGATCACTCTCCCCTCTTCTTTTGAAAACTCAAAAAATACACGTACATATCTTTTAATTTAGGCTATTTTTAATTTGTTTTATAAATTAAAAAAGAAACAAACTATGAGAAATGTTGATAAATACTAAAACTCAAATAAATGTAGTTTTCATGTTCGCAAACTAAAACTAAATACTAGGAATATAGGAAAAAAAGGGGGAAATCAGTCCCGGTCCATGGTTGAAGCACTTGTAAAATTGAGATGTTAATGCAAAGGAACAGCTATCTCTTTAGAGAGCTTTAGAATGACTTTTTTAACTCAGTTTTTTTAGTTAATTACTGAATTTATTTAATTACTGAATTAGTTCGACTGTATTTTGCTGTTTCGGATTACTAGTGCGTTGTTACAGTTCCTAAATTAAAACTTTCTACCATAAATAAATGATTGAATATTAACCTAATATCAATTAATCAGCTTAAACTGCTATTGTATTCAACTGAGATCGGTCATTATGCGTTATTCACAGACGTCCTTTTAGAAACATACCCTGATACTTCCCAGTATATCTCTACATAAATGTAAGGGTTTTGAAATCCGTGCATGTCCATGATATTAAGTTTTCCAAAATACTTACACATAAAAAATGTTATTTTTTCAATATTTTTAAGATTTTTTGAAAGATAAAATATGTACACAAATTTTATTTCAAATATATGCAATCAAAAATCGCATCATAAGATAAGTTTGACACCAATAATGATGTTAGGAGTATGTCGATTGAAGCATAGTGGCGATGAGACCAGAGAAATCAGCACTGCTCTAAAGTCAGGGTATCACAACAATAGTCCAAATCGAGAACTATATATAGTTCTCTATAGTATTCTATAAATTATATATATAGTTCTCGAGAACTATATATATATAATTTAATTTAGTATATTGAATTCAGTAATTTTATTTCAGACAGAAATGAAGCATGTTAAGAAAATTAATTAAATAGAAACATACTTAATCATACGAAAAAATATATTAGCAGTTTCTAAACTTTTAGCTTAAATATAGTACTATCTATGCTGTTTTAGTACGGTTTCTGATTTATTTTCTAAGAATGCAAACTATACTTTGAGATAGACCATGAGACAGAAATTTAACAGTAGTGTCTTTTTTTTTTTTAATTTGTTTCACTCAACTAAAATACGAGTATAATGAGAAAACAATATTTTTTCTATATAACTAGGCGCTTTCGCGACCAGCCGCCTAAATAGTTATAATGAAATAGAAGAAAATGTTTAATGATTTTAATGAATTCGGCGAATATCATATCTCGGGTCTAGCTACTAAGTAATACTAATAAAAATGAACTGCATTCATTGCAACTAAATTGCTTTGTTTGCTAATTCATAACGGAGTAAATTTGATAGAAAAATATTATCTTACGTTTTGCCGGACGAAAACACATTGCGGCGTGGAAGATAAAAATATTTAATTCGAACAGAGCATAACATTTACTTTAACTCGCTGATTTTATTGATTAGATTGAAAGACAAATACATTCGTTTTACTGAGTGACAAAGTTTCTATACCGCTGAGTTTTTAATGAAAAGTTTAAATTCTCAGAAAATGTAAATTAAACAAAAAACGAATTCGAAATTCAATGCTCGGGCTTTGTTTGGAGGTACATATGTCCGGGTGAAAGACTATGTGTGCTGAAAATTTGGTGCCTTTATATGTCGCCTTTTTGCACAATGCGACTAAATTCTAAAGACAGATGCATTGCATTTTGCCGAGTGGCAGTACACGTTTTTAATATCGCTAAGTTTTCCAATTGAATTTGAAACGTAAATATCTTATGCTTTGCAGAGTGCCAACACAAAGCTTTTAAATCGCTGAGATTTCTAGTCAAAAGTTCTTTAAATTTGCATAAAATAAATTTTAAATCTCTAATTACAAATTCTTCTTTTCAGAACTCGAAGTGACAGAAGAATATGTTATCCCTTCTGGTTGTGACGCTCCTAACTTACCAGAGCTGTTAACGAGTACTCTTGCCGACGAACTCTTGTCTACATTTCACGGTTTGGATGAGCCCTCGTCTACGCAGGATATAGCGACTCTTGCAAGTGAATCCTATACCAATGTAACAAACGTTCACAAGAATTCTACGGTCATACCGGAAGTCCTCCAAATTTTAGATGGAAGTCAACAAAACAAAAGCCATGCAGAAGATATATCTGATGATGATATATCTACAATCAATGCTTTTCAAACATTAGAAAACAACAGCCCAGTTGATTATGTGAATTTAACGCATGGATCGCATTTTCCAGTTCTTAGTGAGGGAAATTTATCCGTTTCAATACTACCGCCAGCACAAGATTTTTCAGAATTAAATGGTAATATCCATTTTTAAAAATAGATTTTTCTTTATTCTCTTTTTCTATCACGATCCGGTTAGCGACCTTGGCGAGAAAGGGCATTTGGTGCATTTCTGCAATGGCGGCAAGCAAATATTTATTGATCTGCGTATGTGCAAGAAATAACAAGTTAAATAACCTAACCGTTTTTCCGTTATTGCATTGTATCGATGTAGCGGTTTTTCATCGTAAAATACTCATTGTGCTTATTATTTTCAGTCTTCCATCAACGGGAAAAGAAGCTATTTGAGGCATTATTAGCAGCAACTGCTGATCTGTGACTACCAAAAAGAGTCTATAAAAAATTAATTTTCTGGTTAGACCTCTCTGTTTAATATATGTTGTTTTTAAATACATTTCATTAAATAAAAAGAATCGTATTTTCATTATGTTTATATGTGTTAATGTTGTTATTCAAAATAAAGTGCTTACATAATTTTACTAATTATGGTAATGAATGTATATAATAAATAAATCATGTTGAATTATGCTGTTATTTTAAGAAATTTGTTGACAAAATTGTACTAATACAAATAAAAGTAAATTCCTTCTGTATGTATGTATCAAATAACTTTTGTTGCATAGACACCGAATGAATAGACGATTTGTGGTTGCGTCGTATGAGTTAGTCAGTTTTATTTTCGTGTATGTTTATAATATTTGGCAACAAATCACTCTTTCTTAAGCCCAAGTTGGGCCAAAAGTTTTCTCTCGCCAAGGCCGCTATAGAGAACAAGTACCCATATTCCTATACAAAATAAAATAATTTTGAAAATATTCATCTTATTTTAATAAACACAGATGTGGCGAGATCAAGTGATTTTACTGCAAGTTAATCTGAAATTGTTTTCGTAGATGGCGCTGCTTATGCTGCGATCATTCTGTTTTTACAAGTTGCCAGTTTCTCCCTATTTTAACAAAATGCTTTATACATTTTTGAAAAACAAATATTATGTGATTAAAAATTTACAAAAATATATGATTATAGAATTTTAAACTAAGAAAATTTCAATAAGGAAAAATATTTATTAGAATTTTTTTAGGTTTCTTTAATTTTATTAACCAGTTATTTTATGTTTTGAATCTGTTTTGTCACTTCTCCCTTTCCGTTTCCCCGCCAGAATTCAAATTAAATTCGTATGTATTTAAGGTTGGGGTCTTGAGATTGTAAGTAAGAGCGTGTTCTGCCTGTCGTAGATACTTTACTAGGCTTCTGTTTTAGATAAGAGTTCTTGTCTTCGGCCTTGCATTGCAATTGCCGGTAGCTGAAATCCATGCAGATGATGTTTTGAGCAAACTTTGCATTAAATTCCTCAGTGTAGCCTTTGGTTATTTTTTAAGCTTTACGTTTGACCTATTGCTTTTACGTTTCTCGCCATAAATGCTAGCGGAGTTGTCAGCAGCAGGAGTACCTTCTGTTCATCTTAATTAGTTTTAAATATAGGGTCTTTCATACTGTTCCCAAGTTTCAGTTTTTTTTTTTTTTTTTTTTTTTTTTTTTTTACTTAGTGATAACCAAGAGTTTAAGCACTTAGCATTACTTGGAGACTTAGCGATAACCAAGAATTTAAGCACTTTGCATTACTTGGAGACTTAGCGATAACCAAGAGTTATTCACTCTGAATGATATCAAAACACGTAAATCTCTACAGCTTATCGGAAGAAAAAGTAAAATATAAAACTTTCCGTGTAAATGGTGAGTTTTTGGCATTAAACTGTAGACTAAGAAAGATTAATAGAACAATTTTCATCTTGATCAAGAGTTCCCAACGGGGTTGATGAAATTTTAAAGCGGATCAATGATGGTCAACGGATTCGATATCCGAATGTGCACCGGCAATTCATCCAGATAATGAAGGTTGCATTGATAACAAAAAATTATTAATATTGAGCAAGCCATCATTTCAAAAATTTAAAAAATTAAATTTATACCATATACAAAGTCTAACTTGTTTCTACATTCCTCTAGTCCCTATACTTATATTTAGAGAAATTTTGTTCTCGTTGGAAAAAAATATATATATAAAGATTTTGTGCCCGTAGGATAAAAATTAACCGAAATATCTAACGTTAAAACTCGGAACCATATTCAGAGGCCATGCTGAAATTGAATAACGAAATGTTTGCATTTGTATGCAAATAAAAATAAAATATATTTCAGTAAAAGTTTTCTGATGTTAAGAGATTATGTGACGAGCATTTCTATATATTTATTGTGGAAAGTATTGATTAACGTTATTTTTTCTTCCGAAATGAAGATCTTATTCTCAGAATCTTATCGAATTTGGGTTCTAAAAACACTGATAGGTTTTGGTATTGGAACATAACCGCCATGTAATATTATTTGCATTAATTCAAAAAGAAAAAAAATATTTCTAGTTTTAATTACGTTTTTGTATGATTACTGATTATAGTTATTTTGTTCTCGTTCCAAATGCAGGAAAATTATCATAAAACTTAATGAGCATATTATTAATATATTTTCAGACTTTGAACACTCATAAATGATTTTTGTGACAATGATTTCGACATACCATACGTAACAAAATTATAAATAAAATCTAGTAAATCATAAGGAGAATGTCATTGAATGGCATTTAAAACAGAAAATAAACCTTTAATTATTTTTATTTATTTATTAACCCAGCCCTCAATGCGAATTAAGAATGACATCAAATATCGCAAATTTTGAAATTAATTATCTCGGTCAATTGTTGTACGGGAGTTTTTTTTGTGTTTTACTTTTTATTACCAGCACAAAAGTTCCCTGAACGTAAAGATAAGGATCGGAGGAAGGTGTAAAAAGTTAGATTTCGTAGTATTAAAAAAATATTTCTTTAAATGTTTTAACATTTAAAGAAATAATTTTAATTCCCTTTCAGTAACTTGTTCTTTAAACTGTCCCCATAACTGTTTTTCTGCACGACTTCTCATTCTCCATTTTATCACACTCCGTGTATAGTTTTTCTCATTGTTCCTATTAAGTCATGCGTAAAGTTAATTTAATAGTTACTAATCTGTGATAAATATTATTTCTATTCAGCTTTATTTTTCTAAGTAAGTGATAAATTCTTTCATAATATAGGATAACTCAGATTTTTAAATTAACCTAATCACATAAGAATTATATAAGAATTAGTAATTCTGCATTTTAACCTAAATTTATCTTAGAGGATTACGTATTAATAAATTGCTGCGTATTTTTAGATGAAGCAGGTGTTTTGGATTGCCCTATTTGCATGGCTACACTTCCTGAGAATTTCATAGATATATATTGCACTTCCGCATTTGGTAAGATTTTTTCGACTACATATATTTAACATAATTTATTATCTAGCATTGGTTTTGATTTAATTCGATACAAAATATAATTAAAGTATTGAAAAACACATTTTAAAGGTAGCAGTTAATTAAGGTTTTAAAAGAATTCAATAATTTATTCTTTCCCATCTTCGTTTACTTTAATGCTCTAGAAAGACAGTGAAAAAATGCAAATTTGGAAAATTCGCGTAATAAAATGTTGTGCTTTATAAATAATTGTAATTTCAGTTAAAGTGCAAAGGATCAAATATTCAGAATATTTAAAAAATATTGCAGGAAAAAAAGGAATTTCGTTTAATTATTAAAAATAAAATTTTCGTTTTTAATAACGCAGACAGAAATTTATATGAAGTATTTTGATTCTAATATATCATGAATGTTTTTCTTCAGTGCATTATCAAGAATACGAATTTGTTCCATGCAGTCTTCATTTCCAAATGAAGAATTTTCATTTGGCAAAATAGGTTTCTGAAAAACTTCAAGGAAAATTGTGTAGGTCCTGTATATATAATATTTAGTATACTATATGTCAAAGAAAGCTCAAAACGTGTTATTTTCATGATATGTTATGATACAGTTATGACTTATTAAAATTATTAAATTTAGAAATGAAACTTATTAAAAGTAGAACAGTAACATCGATTGTGACGTCTGTTTGTTGTTAGGAAATATATATTTTGCAAAAGTAATTAAATATGTCACAAATAATGTGTATGAAACTTGTATATACTATTATGTTGGTAATACCTTTATTTTTAGCTTTAATAGCAAGTATAAGATCTGGCAATGCAAAGGCAGTAAAGATATTGCATGATGTTAGTTCTTATATGCAACATCCACAAATGATTCAAAAACTTGCAGAAGTTAAATGGGATGAGAGATGTTCTTGCCCACAGTTAACTACAGGTAAGTAGTTTTCTCTGTTAATAAAATTTCTCTTCTTTACTTCGCTTAAATAATACAGTGCAAAGTCCGAAATCCGGACTCGTCGGGACTTCGGCGATTCCAGATTTCGGAATTTTCCGGATATTAGATCCTTAGTTTAAATTTAGTAAAATGACCTGTAGAAATTATAAAATTAAAAATATGAAATCTTGATTTATGAAATAATGATCTAAAGGGTATATCAAATTTACAAAAAAAAAAAAAAAAAAAAAAAAAAAAAAAAAAAAAAAGAGCTTAATATTTTTTTTTTGTTTACCTTATTAAACATTTCTTTCAATGTAAGTTGTTTAAGATGCTTCGTTTTTTGTGCTAATACTTTCTTTTTAATTCTGTAGTCAGACATAATTTTTGTTTAGTTACATTGTTGAAGTCCTGAAACTGTTGTGTCGAGAATTCCGACTAACTTGTCAATCGAAATGTTTTCGTTTTTAGTAACTTCTCTGTCGCTGTCTTCACTATCGGTAGCGGTATTATGTGGATCTAGAATCATACTACAGATTTCGCCATTCATTAATTGATTAATGATTGAGAAGCATTGTCATCACAATGAAAAACTTCTTTTATATCATCTTCATTTATTACCGCTTCTTTACATTTCTTTACAAAATCCGTTAATTGGAAAATTTCACCTTTGTTTTGAGATATACGAAAACCTTTAAAATTCGCGGCTATCGTCATCCAATTTAGCTATCGTACACTGTGGCTCGACTGTGGCTCTGTTGGCTCGACTAACCGCAAATTGTTCCGTTAAATTTTATCTTGCTTCTATCGCGCACTGAGACAATTAAGTCTGAATTGTATTAGTTTATTTATTTATTATACTTTTGTCGATTTCTTGCACATGCTTAAGGCTTATCGGAGTTCTGAATAAATAAAATCCCACATATACTTAAGCCTTATTGAGGGCCGGTAACTAGTTATCTTACCGCCCGATGCAGTCTCTGTGGGTCCTGAATTCTCGACCCGGTGCGGCTTTACGAACCTTGCGGCTGGTTCTGTGTTTACGTGAATGACAAATCAGTTCTTGTTAATTCAAATAGCCCTAAATATAATCTTTGGGTCTATGAGTATCATCCACAAAATCTATTTTTAGCATATGAAAAGAAGTTTTTATTAAATTTTTCCTCGTCAACATTTTTAGCGCATATAACTTAAATCTGTAATCATCGCCAAGCGTAATGTCAACATAAAAGGTTACCATACTCCTTTATTATTCAGTTACTAACATTAAAAAGTTGTTTAGACATCGCTACACGAGTCATTACTCAAGTTGTCATGTATTGATAAACATGCAGGAATGAAAGGAAAATATAATAAATATTGATTTGCCAGGTTGGGTCAGATCAACGATGTATCTATGTGGAATGTTTCAGTTTGAGATGTGTGCCAAACAGACACGCAGCAACGGAGCCAAATTACTGATCGTACAAATTTATGCTAAAATGATTGTTTCTTCAATAATAAGATATTTCATTTAGTGTCGAAGTGAAATTAAGAATCGGGACTCCCCAGATAGTTTATTATGCGTGGAGAGGGAAATCAAATGCGCATGCGTAAAGCCTACGAGAAAAACGTTATTGGTGGTTTTGAGGTCCGGATTTTAGATCATACCGGATATTGAACGTCCGGATTTCGGACTTTGTACTGTAATAATTCAATACTTTACGTTCTAGTTTATAAAAATATAAAAAAAGCCTTCTTTAAAAATTACATAAATTGACTTTACAATGCATTGTAAGATGTTATGGAGGTTTGACAGTATTATGAATTATAATGCTTGTAAAGTCATCAGGTTCTTTCAAAGCAGGAGAAGTGAAAATTGTTTACTGCCCTTGCTGGAACTCGAAACCACGCCCTCTCGAATACGCTTCGAGTATGCTTCCAGTTACACCATGAAGGCATGCGGAAAGGATGGAGAAAATACCTTATATGATAAATATAAATTTAGAGAAAAGTGATTCATTTGTTATGATTAATATTGTAAACAGTAGATACTATCATTCTTTTCTCCTACACGCTCATAATTACATTCTGATCTTGATTTCAGATGATTAAGTTTTAAAACTTGAAATTCTGCCATTTACTTATACATGACACTGCTTTCGAAATTTTTTTGCTGAAATTTTTTTACTAAATGGTTTATGTAAGCCTAATAGTATCAATTTATTCATGTTTCTTTCCAGGGGAAAATACAATAATAATAATAGGATCACCGGTTACATTATGGAGCTCAGAAGAAACGAAGCATTGCATTCATCTCACAAGACAAGTATATGTTATATCATCATCTGTAATAACTCAACCAGAAGTACTGATGCAGACTCGCAGATCTTGTGACGGAAATCCATAGTCTTCAATCAGTTGACAATCCAATGCCTCTGTTATATATATATATATAATATTAAACTTAGCCTAACCATGAATATCATTTAATTCTTCAAAGTGCTTTTAAGATAATAGGATGTATTTTACATTTTCCTGTTACAGCTTCGAACTTACTGAAGAAAACTACCAGTACGAAAATTTGAGATACAAAATGCTTAAAACACACATTTTTCGTTTTTAGGGAGAATAAATGCTGTTTAAATAAACATGGAATGCGAATAAATCTACATGGGCAAATTTTATAGTTAATTCAGAAGACTCCATCAAATGTATGCTAATTTTTTATTTTGGAAATTGTGCAAAAATCAAGCTACAGGTAAACTTGCGATATATATATATATATATATATATATTATTCTCATTTAGTGAAGATGAAAATGAGATGTAGCATAATTATGAGAAAATATAATTACAGTTTCTAACATCTACTAATTTAAAATCTGCTCACTGAAGCATTGCAACATATAGTCAACTTGAAACTGTCTGTCAAATTTATATAACCATTATTAGAAGATCTATTTACTCAGGCGCAGTAGCTAGCGCGTCGCGCAGCAGCACCACAGGTCCGGGACTCGATCTCCGGGATGGGTAATGTTGACTCAGTATTTCATCCCTTGAGTGGGTCGATAAAATGAGTACCAAGTTCGCTTGAGGATTAAACACCGGGGGTCCTGCGATAGACTGACCACTTTTTTATTCAGGCAAAGATGCACAAGCTACCCGGGGCCCACGGTCTAGAAAGCAGACATCAGGGCACTGCCGCCCATGGCTCTCTAAGGGCTGTTTATGCCGCCGAGTTTAGTTTCGTTTTAATTTACTCAGTCAAAAAGGAAAAGCCATAAACATAATTTAACCGTTAAACGAAAATAGATAATGAATTCGAATTTTAGAATTGTTTTCGTATTAAAGATATATAAGTAAGCATTATTAGTATCTAAAAATGGCTAGCTTCAAAAATCCTATTTCTTGAATTAATTCAATGAACCGCAGTAAGCTTTAATAGCGAATTGATGAATCAACATTTCCTTCAAATAAACTTCGGGAACAATTTAGCTGGCGCCTGATGCGGCAGTCTTATGTCTCATATGCCTGTGGAGAGTCCTGTTCTGTGTTTAATGTTAATATCTATCACATTATTAGAGTCTACATACTATCCATTCAGTGTAATCTCAGTTATCCGAATGATCGTTTATCTGAACTTGTTAAAACTAAAAATTAAGCAAAAAAAAAAAAGGAAATATAAACTTAGCTTAGAATTTTGCTTAAAACCCTATTAGTTTCGAGGTTCAGACTCAGGTATCTTCCTCTGCAGCGTCAGAAATTGTTTGCTTCTAAAGCAGAGAAATTTGTATATATTGTTTTCGAAATCGATAGAGTTCTGTTCAATTTCTGCATCAAACTGAAGCTATTTTTCCGCCTAATTTAAAATTTACAATTGACTTGTTTCTTTTAAGATTTAAAGCATGGGATTGGGGAAATTAGAACTTGTTCTCAGCAGCTCTAAGCTTATTTACTTCAATATAATTATTAAATCACAAGTGTCATTTTAAATGAAAGTAGAGAAAAATTTAAAGCAATAAAATTTTAATTTTGTGCATTAATAAAATTGAAAATTCTGTGTCTAATATCAGAATTCCATTGCACCTTTCATCGGAATTTCTTATTTTCGTTATCGTAAATTTTAGATTAATTTTTAATTTAATTTTAGATTAATTTTTATTTAATTTTAGATTAATTTTAATTAATTTAGATTTAGATTAATAGATTTAATATGTTATGTTTACTGCTTAACGGCTGCGTGCAGAAGGAAATTATATATATATTGAAATGCGCACCATATAAGTCTTCAAACATATCATCGATCGTAACGTGACTACAATCTAGCTCCAATATTTTATCACTGTTTCTTTTTTCTGTGATATTATCAGTTTTAACAATTTATTAATAGCTAAGTGCATGCATCTGAAAACTTTGATTAGGTACGTAATCACTGAGAACAGCTGTAATAACTCATACATGAGCTCTGTTTAAATGTACTACAAAATAACCGCAGAAACTGTGTTATTTCACACTACTTCCTATAATGCATCATCAACGTGCTCTATTATACCCTGTCGCTGAAAGCTAAAATTCGACTCAGCTTTAAATCACGAAGAAGGACTGATTGTATTGACATTTCGTGTTTCTTTCCAAATGTAATGGAGTTATAATATCTAACGAAGCATGAGGCTGGAATGTTTCTTAAAACTCTGCTATAAATTGCATAGACGTTTTGTGTTTTTTTTTTTTTTTTTTTTTCCATATTATGGGGTTATCACATTTAATGATACTCGTGAGGCTCGAATTTTGTTCCAAATTCTATCGGAGAAACGAGCTTCTTCTTCAAAGTTCTGGGATATATTTGTTTAAAGTAGCCTGCAGATGCGGTTTAAAGTTACTGAAAGAAATTTCCCTTACGACGTCCTCCACAATGTCATCTTTAGGCATCACCGTGCTTTGCAATTACCAAATTATCCAGTCCTGTAAACGGCTAGTAGCTAGTTCAATTTTGCTAGTATCCAGCACTATATATGACACTGAGTTCATTACATACGAGGAGAGAAGCAAAACGCGATGAAATGGCACAAAATTTCAAGAAAACAAACTTTTCAAAAGTGTCATGTTTAGTACGATTTTAAGATTACGCGACTAACTCTAAAGCATAAAAATGGTAATTAATTGTATATTATGGTATCATAAAAATGCATACTTTACTAATTCACGAATTTACAAGATTTTAAGAGTTATAATTGCATTTCGTAAATCGAGGCCGAATTCTTCTGTAACGAGCGGGAAAATTAAAAAAATTGCTTTTATTTATCATGGATTTCTAGGTCCACACACATTTTCATACAATATTTTGATAAAATAACAATGCCTACAACTGAGTTTGATACATAAATACAATTCGTAAAAGTGCAATGAGATTGCGTATAGCTAAAAAATGATTGTGAAAAATTTGTTACTCTCTATGAACCCCCTACAATATTATTATTTGCATGATCTACAATTTTTAATTAATTTCCACAGCATTTAAATTATTCTGTTCACTTTACCTAAAGTCAGAAGAATTAAGGGATAATAAAAAAAAAGAATTAAATGAGACTGATAACCACAAAAGATACTTCATTAATATTTTATGATGATCGACTATAAATTAACTATCAAAATAAACTATTATTATCAACAGCTGTTCAAATATATTAATTTTATTCAAAATCAGTTTCCCTCAAAAATAACTCAGATAATCACAATCAATAATCATAGTTCCACCATGTTATGAGATATCATTTTTATGCATATCATCCATTGATTTGCTAAGAACTAACTTTTGAATAACATCACATTCGTTATATCCAGCATTATCTTATCGCCATCGAAAACCGTAAACAGATATTTTCAATACAAAAACTACCACTTCTACGTAATTATAACACATACGGAAGCAGAGACAATGATAACGAAGGGGAAAATATAAATTATTTTAATTAACGAAACTTAATTTTTTGACGAAGGAGTTCTTACCGAACATTCAATATTAGAGCAACAAACCATTTTATCACTTTGAATATAAACATACAGAAAAGATTATCGGTAGTATAGCGACGTACATAGCATCCCATTGCAACGAGAGACGATAAAGGAAAGACAGCGTGGGGTGAAAGCTGGCTCAGATTTGGAGCACGCTCCTCCGTGGCTGGCACAGGGAAAAATTAGAGATATTAATTTAAGATACATATTTGAGATAACTACTGAGAAAAAAGTGAACTTTTTTTAATTACTCAGTTACTATGAAAGCTTGGAATAGTCCAATTTGGATAAGACTGTATTTATAATTTTTTTAAAAAATACAACAGATGTTCTTGGTTGCACATTTTAAGTTTGATTTTATTATGTTATTAGGATAATACTATAACGCAGACTATATAAAGACATAAATGCAAAAATCCATATTAAAATATATACATTTTGTGCAACATTGTATATACATAAGCTATTTCGGAAGCAGGAGTCATGAAAAATGAGCAACGCCTTTGCTTGGAATCGAACCACGGACCTCTGGAATATGCACCCAGCCATGTGGATCACTACACCACAAAGTGGTGGCCAAAATTGTGGACACTTTTGGAAAATTTTATGTTTTTGAACTTTGTATGCTTATAGAAAACGTTACGTTTCACAAAATGCAAACTTGTATGTATCATTTTAAAGAGAATTTATTACTGAATTCAATACAAAACACAAAATTCAATTATTTGCAATACAAAAAAAGTTAAACGATAATAGTTATCGATTACATTAGATAGTGATGATTGCAGTGAGTTATCAGTACTTAGTAGGGTACATTTTATTTTTGATTACAGCTTCACATCGACGTTTCATTGAGCTGACAAGTGTTTTATGCTCTTTTTTCGTTAGTACATGATTCCAGGAAACAATTATAGCCTCAATTAGTTCCCTTTTATTTGATGGGCCCTCATTCGGACAAGAGTTTTCAAACGGTGCCACAAATTTTCGATAGGATTGAGGTCAGGACTGTTTCCTAACAATGACAACAATTTAATGTTCTTTGTACGAAACCACTCTTTCGATATTTTGGCCGTGTGGCAAGGAGCAGAATCCTGCTGAAAAATAAACGAAGCATTGTTGGGAAAGAGATCTCTGATGGAAGGTAAAAGTTTTGGTTCTAGAGTAGTGTTAATGTATTTTCTGGCATTCAGTGTCCCATCGATGACATGAAGGCGACCAATACCATCTGCTAACATGCATGGCCAAATCATAACACTAACTGGGTTCTTCACCAGTTGCTTGAATGCAGTCAGGATGTAGCTCTTCTCCTATTCTAAGTCTTACATATTTCGCCCATCAATCATCTGTCCAATTAATGTGTTTCTCTGCCTACTGTAGTCTTTTTTTTTTTTTTTTTTTTTTTTTTTTTTTTTTTTTAGTTGCTGAAAATTAAGATAAGGCTTTTTTCGTGGAATTCTACCTCTCAGTTCAACA